CACATGAAAACGGGAGGTGATAGTGGTGGTGGTGTTGTTATTGTTGTTCGACCAACTCTCGAACACTGCCGCTCAGTTGGTACGTTCCAAAGTAAGCCGGCAATTCGCTTTGCCTATTGTTGTGTTCAGTTTTGTTGTGCCCCACTAAAAGGTAAATTTTCACTCATCAACATTTTTTCGAAAATATCTGGACATCAGGGTGGGGATTTATTTGCAATTCATTTCGTCGAGCGATCAGGCTCTATCTGATATGACGGGTGCTGTGGGCTCCCGCAAATTTCCCTTGCTTTCGATGTTCTAGATTGGATGACTTCGACTTTCGGAATCACTTGGAATTGTGTTACTTTCCTCTTTTGTCAGTCATTGACCTAGTCCAGCGTTGGCCAATGTATTGACCGGCAATTGGCCATAAATCTTCGTTGTTTCGCTTCTTATAATCGTTTCGTTTCAACATTCAACTTAATTGTTATCTGCAGTGGTTGCATGCCTGAAATCGCTATAATTACTTGTCCGAAACACGCACACAATCCAACCAACACACACACACACACAACTACATTCAGGTTGTGCGACAACCACATTTTTGAGAGAATTTCTGAGATGGCCTCATTTTGGAAGGAGGAATTTTCCCTTTCCACTTTCGAATATGAAAAGTTAACTGTTTATTTGCAAAGGATTAACAGCATGGTCAGACTTCAGGAACGAACCGTATCAGTGTCCAAAGTATCGAGATAGCCATAAAGATAAATGCTCTGCGCTCCAGGTCACTCACCCAACCCATCAACATGAAACACCTACCTTTCCAGATGATAAAATCATAATTGTAGTCATAACATAAATATGACTGAACGTACACACACACATACACACAAGAACAGTTGAGTGGATGGGTATTCACACACATACACACACATCCTCTAGTCGAACACATCCGCGGAAGAATTCATCCATAAATACCAGTAATTACATAAGAACTCACGCGTATTTTTGTAAAATCACAAGAATTAGGATTTGACTTGTCAAACAAGCATGAAGAGAAACGTCTCCAATATTTCACACAAACCCGCTCTGCCGATACCCGTTCGAGACAAGCACATTTACAGTGAAGTGCAAAACTGTATGGGGTATTCGGTAGCGCCACCAATGTGGGTTTCTGTGCCACAGATAATGGAGATAATCAAGTTCGATCTCGTGTTTGAAATCTTTATGAGCAACCAAATCAAGATCCGTGGAAGCTGGACACTGACAGAGGGAGGTTGAGACGATGAAGTGGGAAGGAGAGACGTTTAGGTTGGAATTATTCAGTTTTTGGTAGTTCTCAGCAATCATTTGTACAAGACCTCAGAGTATTCTAAGACTGCTTCACCGCACACCTTTTCTTGTCTTCGAAAAATAGGGCACAGTTCGAAAAACTGAAAATGAAATACTTTAGCACCGCAACACGGAAATTGGTAGAAAAACTTGAGCTGTTGTGACAAGTCAGTGATGCGAAGAATAAAAGCTTAAAAACAACTGAGAATATTGCTGATATCTTCCCAAGAGTGTCTTAAGAACTTGGTCCGTTAATTTAATTTCGATTTTTTACGAGATTAAGGGTTTGCAGAGCTTTTGCAGTTAAGGAGAGGGAGATGTGATGGACATAAAAGTATTACTATGTTCGATTGATTCGACCACTGTCTTCGCTTTGTATCAAAAAGCCACAATCGTTTTATTCAAGAATCACAATTGTTGACTTCTTGTCATAGAAATTTTGACAAAATCCTTAGCTCAAGCTTTGGAACAAATGGGTCCACTCCTTCTGGTACCTCCCCCTCAAGGGGTCAAAATTTTGAATATCCTCGAAGCTGATAAAACGCGAAAGTAACAACTGAGACCATTCAGTCTTGCCTCAATATTTCTATCAACAAAATATGTTTTATAAAGATGGTAGAGATCAGACCATTCCTTCTGGTACCTCCCCAACAAAGTGTAAAATTTTGAATGAAACCAAAACAAAAAAATAAGCATCCGGTTCTCTTCATGTTTCACACATCCCATTATTTCTACTAATATAAGATCTGCTGTGAAGATGGAATATATCGGCCCACTCCCTCTGGTACCTCTCCCATATAGGGTTAACATTAACCCGTAAAACGGGAAATTAACATTCGATTTCATTCAGACTTGGTACATCTCAATCAACACATAATCTGTTGTGAAGATGGTTGAGATTGGACCATTTCTTCACGTACCTCCCCTACATAGGGATCAAAATTTTCAAAAACAAAACGGTCAAAGAAAGCGAATTAAGCATCCAAGTCTCATCAAAATTTAAACATACAAAAAATTTTGCTAACACAATATCTGTTGTGTTGATTATACATATCCTTTACCTCACCTCATGTCTTTCAACCAGAAACTGGAGATGAATATGGAATTTATGATTTCGATTTTCTGTAATTTTTCCCATACCAATATGTTTATCTGTATTAGATGAAGCATAGAATAGAATATGTGAGTCGACTATACCTTACAACTCACGCACATTTTACATTATCACTTATCTCATATAAAGTAAAGGAAGTAGCCCATATAGTCCGAACCTGGCACATCGCAATATGTATATCTTTTATTTATTTGGGTCCGATATGAAATGTTACAATTTTGGTCCATTCCTTTGAAACCTACTTCATAGGGGGCCAAAAATTTGAATAATCTATAACAGGAGTCAAAATATACTTAAGTAATAGAACATTGGCTGAAGGTATACATCTGTGGGCAAAACCGAAGTAATACTTTCTAACTTGTTAATATATCCTATGTTCATACTGGATTTGCAAGTGGCAAAAATATTGAAATGTGGGAAATTTAAAGGGAATCTCAAATTCGCAACATTTGGTGAGGGAGTTACCAGGAGGAGTGTGTACATTGCATGTGTTAGTGCTGAGGCAATTGTTGACTATATCAAATGAAATGAGCGCACTATAGGCCGAGATAATAAATACAGTATGTGTCTTAAGTCTTTCGTTTTGAACGAATGCTTTCACCATTACCCAATAAATTCAGAAGTAAATTGATATGATTAAGACTTTTGTAATACCTTCCACCCTGTGATGGACGACATATAAATTGCATCATTCGCCTTACAACCCCTCAAAATATTCGCTCAAGACCTTAGATAGTTTGTCTAAGAATGTAGGACCTCTTAATAACATTGGGGTGTAGCAATGGAGCGACATAGAATAAATGCCATTCAAAAGTATATGCTTGCACATTTGCCCGAGACAGTATCGAAAGTACGCTGTTATAGATATGTATTCGTGTTTTGGCTGCGTATGTTTTGAGCTTTTAAATACAATGACAACAACTGTAAATGGCAATGTAATAAAGAACAAATTAAATTAGTTTAGTTAATCTCCTCTAACAAAAGTACACAACAGCCAGCCGTCAGTTAGACAGCCAACCAGCCAGTACACTATTGCCATTAACATCAACAGCAGAAGAATAAGAAGCAGCAGCAGCAGCAGCAGCCATCAGCGGCACACGAACATGAAAAATAAAACGGTGAACCTTAAGCAGCGAAGCGAAGTAGCTATCAACTAGGAGCAGCTAGGTAGGTATGTATGTAGGTAGCTAGCTCAAAGGTGCCTTTAGTCTGTCACACTATGGGAACATTTGTATAAAACCGCTGGAGCTGGGCCCATAAGTGGAGAGGGGTGGGGGATGGGGGTTAGTTGGATGGCAAGAGAGACTCCACTCGCCATAAATACACACATAACAAATGTTCTTTCCCGGCAATAACGCCAAAAGTGATTTAATAACTTGGTAACCAGGTACGACAAGGTGAGGAGAGGTAGGTAGTGGCGGAGCGACTTGTAATTGTTGCTGTTGTTTTTGGCTTAGAACATTGACAAGGAAAGCACAGCACAGCCACAGACACAGCTGAATATGTGGTTTTATCCATAGGTATGTATGACTGAAGCTATTATGGCCTTCATGGTGGCACAACTTCTCGTTCTGGAGGCAAAACAGAACTGGACAAAGAAAAGATGAAGGGAATGGTTGCGGGCGCTTGTTTGTAGACATGTTTATGCAGGGAAACTCCAAGAAATATTGACAAGAATGTTTGCATTTGAAGAGGAAGACAGGTTCGACACTACTTGTTGTTTGTTTTGCAAAAACAAAAGCGAACACTAACAAGTCGCTTATGTAATACCCACTAATGCTGCAAACGCTTTAATTTGGAAGGGCCGAATGGCAAAGTATGTAATGTTTCCCTGTCGATGTTGGTCGGAGAAAGCAGTGGAGGATATTCTCATTCAAGCAATGACCATTACAACCTCATACAGATCCGACTTGTTGGTTTAAGAATGGCAATTATGTTACGTACATCTATCGATCGAATTAAGGTGTTGGTGACAGAACCTTGTAAGCTTTGTAGATTCCCGAGCGATCGGCGTGAATTTCCACTGAATATTAGTAATACCGCCCGCTAGACAAACGCCCACAAAACTGGCATCAGTTGGATGGCAAAGATGAATCAGACGATATGAAGAAATTGATCCATAATCGAAGCATAACAACAAACAACCATTGTCTATGTATTGGTGTGTGTGTGTGTGTCTGTTATATTCGATTGAAATGCCATTACTCATTGATTAGCACGATGTTTGAGGGCAACTGGGTTACATGTCTGCAGACAGAGCATTTGTGGCCAAAAAGAGAACATCCAATTTCTCTTAGCCACAGCTGCATCTCTTGGCAGACATCAGCTGATGACAAAGTCACACATCAATCGAGAGGCGTTCCACTGCAAACCGAAGTCAATTAAGTTCGCCAACAACACCTGTGCTCACCAATGCTCCGGCCTGCATTGCAGTGCCGGTGGAGAAAAAAGAGCGCGTGCGCAGCATCTTCACAAGCACAGCTCTCTTCGGTTCGGCTTGGTTCGATTATGTGCACACACATATCATCCGACTGCTCTCGCCCGATACGTATGGTTGGCTAATGCGCTCCACACCACACAACACCACACAACCATGACACACGGCATGCCATGACTGTTTGTCGGCCTGCTGATGGGTTCGTTTTGGAGGTTTTGTGCTGGAGTTTAACACAATTACTGCACAGTTCCGTCATAAGTCTCCATTAGAGCGGTTCGTCGGCGCGGCTGGCAACATAACTCGTAGAAGTACCCGGTCGCTACACAAAGCCAATATTTGCTTATCTTAAAGAAATAAACAAATGCGGTTAGTTTCGAAAAAGTGTTTAAGAAAGTCTAAGAAAACCTCTCATCCTCTGTGTCGCGGAAGAGTACTCGACCGGATTAGCGCCTGCAGATGTGTACTTGTGCCTCTAATTGAAACGAAAATGAATTGCAAATTGAGGCAGGCCCATCGGCAGATCGGTAAAAAATCAATCTGAAAATAGACATCGACAAAAAGAGAGCAACAGTTGATCGAACTTAATTCCTTGAGTGTACGGATGTTGCTGTCGTTGTGTTGAAAACTAAAAAAGAAAGAAAAGAAAAAGAAAACAAAACAAAGGCAAAACAAAACAAAAACAAAACAAATTGAGTAGAGCGAAAGAAATCACAATTGCCGAACCAAGTGACAAGGTAATTTATTGATAGCCAGCAATTGTTATTATTACATATGAGAGTGGGGGCGGGAAGGGGCCGCTTAAGTGGCCTACGCTTTGCCAAAACGGCCGGAGGGGTGAATGCGTAATAAGAAATCTTTGCTGGCCACAAACGCTGCTCTGCCAACCCAGCAACACTTGATGCTGCCAATGTGGCTCACGGGTGTTATGTGTCAACAACACCAACAACAATGTCTCCTCTTGGTGTTCCTAGCATCTATGCCTCCTCCACACTTGGTATTCCAAGGGGCGGGTTATTTTTTTCTTTGACGAAAGTGAGAGTTTTGATTTTGTCCATGTATTGATGTGTTTCATTTTCGTTATGATTGATGGCAGCAGCACTGATGGCTGGTGTTATTATCCCAGCGCTGCCATCTACAAAACTATGGTGCGGGGGGTGAGATAAGTTTTGCACAAAAAAACCAAAATTTATTATTGGTGACATTGACAGCGTACGGATAAAGTACCAATTAAAATCTAAGGCACGTATAATCTATTACAAAATCCTCAAGAAATTGCGGCAGCATTAACAGCCATCGAAGCCTCTAATAGCTGCACACCATCCATACAAACGTGCAGACGAATGAACGAACGAACGCAGATACGGGCAGCTTGGCAAAGGCAGGCGACCGAACGTCCAAGACAGCATAGTGGCCTTTAAGTACCTCCATTAGTTTTTGTACAAGTGCAGTGTTGAGCAATCGCTTCATTGTTGCTGTCCGTCCATTCTTAAAGACTTTGCACACACACACACACACACACACGCAAATACATACATACATGCGACACAACCTAGGCCTGAAGAGTCGCATTGGCAGGTTTTAATATGCGTGTCACGCAGTCGTGTATCAAGTTCAAACTTCGGTGCACTGTCAACAAGAAATGCAGCAGTGCGCTCCCGTACTTATCATCCCATCCATTAAACCAAAATGGTATCAAAGCCCAGACGGACGCGGACGAGCCGTGAGTGGCAGATGTGTTGACGATACTTAACGACATTGGAGATGTACATAGTTGTTGCTGCTGCCACTGTGGCTGGACTGGGTTGAGGCTGAGGCTGAGATGGAATGGGATGACACATTTTTGTAAAAATATCCTCTTTCTCGAGCTGGGACTAATGCTTTGATTTGTAGCCGTCGTAGCTGGGCACAGAAAACTAGTGTTGAAGTATTAAAATTAACAACGAGCGGGCGCTGATGCAAATTAAGATATTAATCATAAACGACAAAAAGGCGATTCGGGTATGAAGGGATATTCATTCGGATGCAAATCCAAAAGATTCGAGTAGCAACTTGTGTCGAGACATCTGGAAATTATCCAGAAGTATAGACAGGCATAGACTATAGATGGGTACGGTAAGTTCTCAATGAGAATAACTCAGTAACTTCGACAGACAGAACATTCTCTTCCAAGTGCAAATATAGCAAACAGTTTTCGAAAGGACTTCAGTGAAAAGAAAACAGCTGTTTCGCAAATTCAAGACGTCACACTTAAAAATTGTTGAGGAAATCGAATTAATAGTTATTTGATGGTGTCATACAATATTGAAAGCCTCTCATTAGACAAATATTCAAAAATAATGACTCAAATTTTAAAGTGACAAACAAACATCTAATAATTCTGACTGGCATAATTTGAAGGAAACTCTCAGTAGCTGCATTGCCAAAGTTTCTCTCTTCACTCGTTCTCGCTGAATTAGGCAAATTATTGAGTTATAGTACCTTATATTGACCAAATAGTTTAACAACAAACGGTGTATAGAAGTTCATTTTCGTCAAACGCAGTTCAGGGATTTTTTTTGCATAAACTACGTATTGGGGTATAAGGGGAGGACCAACAGGGTCTGGAATTGCCAAAATTCTTCTGTCCCCATCGTTTCTGCCTTGAGTTTAGATTAAGTAAAGAGTTCATAAATTTCTCATTTGGCTGCAGTTGGGCCATAAATTAATGCATAAATTAATAATTGGAGGTATTCCATTTTAATTCATGGCCATTTGTATGTACATATGTAAATGCAGACTAAACAAACTTGGCGATGATATATTCCAATTAGCACCCATCCGTTACCTCAACTAATCCAGCAGAAAAATCTCCATTACTGACTCAATAGGGAGGTGTTGGTGTGGCACCCTTTTATAAACCACACACAAACACAAACTCATACAGACATTTAAGAATTGGATAGGCACTCACAAACACACACACACATACACACACACCCATTCACAGCCATAATCCAGATTGGATAGTTCAATTTAACAAAATGGTAACACAACTAATCTACGATCTTTGATCGGCTTCGTCAACATCAAACACAAAACCAACAGAAAACAAAAAAAATCTGGAAATAAAACGCTCTTTCATGTCGCTGTGGCATCGCGCAAATGTCAGAAAGCAAAAACTCTGCATACTTGAAGCCATGTATGGATCCAAAGATAACAATAAAAGTGCTTTCGGTTCAAGTCGAACGAACTTACAGCTACATAGCCGCACTGCAGTGCAGCAATTCTAACAGGTCGTCCAGCACTTGAAAGGCACGCGCGCTCTCTCTCTCTCTCTCTCTATCTTTCTTCGCCTCTGGTCTGAGATGTCCGGCGAACTTTTCGCAAACATTGGCAACGGAAAAATTAATTAAACGGCACATGTGTGTGCCCCAGCCAGCACACCGGAATGAGAGGAGAGCCGAGACCCACAGTAACCGAATTGCAGCCATGGTCACCAGCATCAGCCATCATCATTTTTGCCTCGACAACTTGAAAGCTATTATCGCATTGGCTGAGCAGCATACATGCGCTCGCTTATGAAAATAAAATGGTTAAAAGAATGTGGCTGGAAAACCTACCCGTTTTCCAACCCTCCCAGCCGGCTAATTCATATAGAAAATATTTGTATATGCTCAAGAGACTGGCCTCATATACTAACAGACATGTTTGTGTGTATGTGAGTGTGTGTGGTTCACCATTTCCTTGGTTGGACAGACTCCATAACGAATTGACGAACTTTTAACTTGAGATTCTAAACTTTACAAATGACCTGGCCAATCGGTCCAATTTGTGCATAAGAATACCACTGGAACAGAAAAGCGCTAGGCTTTATCGTTTTATCCACGAAGGGATAAAAAAAGTAGCAGCCAAATTGTTGGTAAAAATCCTTTAAGTAGAGCCAACTCAGCCATGAGGGAACTTTCTATAGAATGCATTACAAGCACAGAGAGGAAGTAGTGCAGTTACAGACATCCTGAGTTATTAAGAGTAGGAATGTTTCATATTGGACCTGGACCAAAGAGAGAGAGTACATACATATTTCAACAAAATACTCAAAGCCCTTCCGCTGCTGGGCTGGATGCAAACTCAAACACATATCCTCCATTAACGTGCCCGCTATTCAAATAAACCCAATTGCCGTCTGCTCTCCTGGGAAATTGTGTAGATCGTCGATCGTTGATGGTGACTGGAGTATGTGAATGTCCCTGTCGGTTGCTGAAAACTCTTCAAAGATTTTTACTTCATTTAATTTTTATGTGCCGTTTTGTCGTCGTTGTTTTTCTTATTCTTGTTGTTGTTGGGTTTTCATACAGAAACGACAGGCGAAAATTACTTATTGTCTGAACATGGAATCGTTCGGCCGTTGTTGCTGTTGGTGTTATTGTTATTGTTGTTGTTGCTGTTGTTCTTTGGTGATTTTCTTTTTAATTTTTTGTAGTTTGCTGTCGCCGTTGTTGGTGTTACTGCTGCTGCTGCTTTCTTTCTTTCTCCCTCTCTATCTGTCTCTCTCTCTCTTCGTCAATACGCCATAGACTTGGGGAACATGCTTCAAATGTCGACTAATTAGTATACGTGTTTTGTTACAGTTATCATCTGCAGCTTTGAGCAACAGCTGTAGTTGCAGTAAAAGCAGCAGCAGCAACAACAACAACCATAAACCCGACCAAGGACCGTAATATGCGGTCTTGTCAGCTGTATTTGTATGCACTGGCGGCGGTATTGGTCTGAGACAAAACACTTCCAACAGCAGTAGTGGCAGCAGCCGAACCGCAGAACAAACAAACAGACACAGTCAAGAACTGGGAACAACGAAAAGCAATCCAATCGCTTAGCCATTATTATGTTATGCCATTTGTCTATTGGATTTGCCAGCTAATGCGGAAATTGTTTCCTATGTGTCGCTAGAGTCAGAGCAAAAGCACGAGTGTATTCCCAGACACAAACAGATGCAACTTCACTGGCGGGTTCTAATTAATAAAATAATTGCTTTTATTTACTTTGCTCCTCTTTGAATTGAATTGAACTGGTCATAGCCTGACTGAGGGTAGAAACCGTTCGTGTCTAAAGTCTTTTGTTTTGGTTCTGTTATTAGTCGACTCGGGTTAGGCTAATTTGTTAGCGACATTTTTTCCGATTGCACATTTATCGTTATCAGAAGAGCATTTGCTGAAAAAAATGATGCGATCGAAATGTGGATGTCTGATAGTTTTTCCATGATGGATGAATCTGGCCCCTTTGTGAGGAGGATATTATAGCTTGGTTTCAGTCTAAAATTATGGGCCCGCATCTAGACCAAAATTAATGTTCAAGAGCTGCACTAGGTGTGTCCGTAATAATAGTTCTACAATATTTTCCGATTATTATGGAAATAGCCTAATAAAGTTTGAAACTCACAGAAGAGGTAATGTCAGGCATTTAGGGATAATTTGGGCTTATTTTGCATTAACCGTCTCAGTGTTGTCGCTTTCCTAGACGGATTATTTGCAGACTGTCCTCTCATCTACAACAAATCTTTACAAATTCTACGACGAAGAATGCTTTCAGCTGTGTCTCGCAACTAACATGCAAAGCATGAATTGTGTGGGAGGAAGCTTCCACTTCCACACAATCATAACAATAAATTAGTGTGTGTGTGTGTGTGACCCAATTTCACAAGCGGCAGCATCATCTTTTGTTCTGAATGAATTGTATTCCAAAACAACGAATAGTCCAAATAGTTTATGGCTTGATTTATGAAAACCATTTAAAAACACTTGGGATTAGCTTTTCTACTCTCGTGAAAACAAAGCGAACTATCGAAGAGGAGTGAATAACGATTGGCAGAGCATTAATCAAAGGCAGGCGACACCTACTTTTTCAATTAGAAAGAAATACAAAAAAAAAAACACAACATCTGTTCCGAGTGATGCCTACTAGCTGATTCAGCAATTTTTTAACACATTCCCATGATGAACATAAATTTAACCCTCACATGACCGACACGAGTAATTGCCCTAAACGATCCTATGCAAATTAACTAAGATGCTGTTATTTTAGCATTTCTTGGGTCTTGGGTCTGTTAGAGTAGGCCATTACAATATTCCAATACGAAACTTGAAACAATTTCGGTGAATAGTATCGCACAATCATTAAAATACCGAATATGGGGAAGTACCGTTATATGCGGACTATACGAAGAAATAGACCTGCATAGGCAATTTTCTTTTGCGGGTTGTAGTACCAATTGGCAACATCAAATACGAAATTTGAAACAATTCCAGTGAATACTGTAGCTAAAATCATCAAAATACCGAATATATGGAGGTACCGTTATGGGGGACCTATACGAAGACATAGTCATTGACAACTTTCGGTTACAGGATGTAGTACCCATTATGAACTATAATTACGAAATATGAAACAATTCCGGTGAATGATGTAGCTAAAATCATCAAAATACCGAATATGGGGAAAGACCGTTGGGGGCTATATAAAGACCTGAACCTGGATAGACATAGGTCAAACACACATTTGAGTAACATGTTATCAACCTTCTTCAATTCGTTGAAAGGCTAGAGGGACGGACGGATATCGACATAGAATCCATATATTTGTGGGGTCTAAAATTTATATTTCGAGGTGTTACAAACGGAATCACAAACTCAGCACGATGGTGGAGGGTATAACAAGAAAAGGGTAAAGACATTTCATTGGAAAACGGAACGGTTTTAAAGTTGTACCTTACCGCTTCTACATAGAATAAGTCCCGTTTACTTTTTGGATTTGTTCCAATTACATTTTGTAGCGAATCAAACCAAAAAGTATTCAGATTTACCCGGCGCACATTCGGGGGTTAATTAATTAAAGGTTGGTTTATAAAAAACGGCCTAACAATAATAATAACAACAAACATAACTTTTACTTTATGTTTTTCGTTGTTTTTTTTTTTTTCTTTTTGCAGATGTTTATATTTTCTAAGTGGATCTACAGTTGTGTGATAGTCGAAGGGACGGTGTAGATTGCCAGCTAGCCAAAGGGCATGTGTAACATTTCATTTGACTACCAAATCAAAAAAAAAAGTGCGCGAACGCCAATGTAACCAAAAGGCTGATTAATGATTATTAAAAATTAAAAAAACAAATTCAAGAAACAAAACAAAAACAGAACGGCAGCAGTGGCCGAACAAAGTGAAAGAATTAAAAAATAAAACAAAAAGTTTAAAAGTGCAATAAAAAATAGTGAGCAATCGTTTTTCGTTTTTTTTTTTCTTATTTTAAATGAGCAAAAAAACATAAACGCCAAAGATTTCGGTGTAAAGTAAACAACAGCAACAACAACGCTCACAAACCGATCGAATGAAAGGAGTTAATGATACGTTTTTTATGAGTTATGGTGAAATAATTTTGTGCGGCGGCTTTTCAGTAGACTGCGATGGCGGTGGCGATAAGAGTGTATTTGTAGTTGTTGCTGTTGGCAGTAATGAGTGTAAATGAGTGCGTGTGTGTAACTGTGCTATTCAACAATAACATTTAGAGTAATTAAAATGAAAACATTTCGTTGCTTTCTTCATGCAACTCCTAAAAAGTCGATTCGTTACAAAAAGAACAACGACAACAGCAATAAAACTCACATAAAATAGCTGAACTGTAAGATATACCGAAAATAGCAATTGGCCCCAGCAAAAAACAAATCACAGAGAGAAATTGCATTCCACACAGAGCTACAGCTACAGCTACAGCTCAGCACCACATCAGCGTCTATAGATCACCAATTATGATGGCATTTTCACGTTCAGTGTCAATTATTTAAAGTTTACTACTGCCGCTGGTATCTGGAAAACAAGCCAAGCTTCCATCCATCCATCCATCCATCTAGCCATCTATCCATTCAAGTATCGGATGTTGCATCAAACACAACACAACCCAACACCACAGCAAGAGTTCAGTTCATCTCAACGGTAGCCATCATCGTTTCATCCAATATTGTCTGACTGGCTGGCTGACTAACTGACAAGGCCAACAGCTTAGAAAAGCAAACACAACCGCAAAGGAATTGCCACTGCAACAGTGGCAACGAGGGTGGCAGCAGCCGCCACAACGCTTCATCATCTTCATCTGCTGTTTCATTTTCATTTTCTTCTGCACTGCATTTGGTGGCATCCATGACTTAATGAGATTGCCGACTTTCGTGCTCGAAGTACAACGGCGACATCAACGGCAACAACAGTGGCAACAAATTGGTAAGTCAACAACACAAAAAGAAAAAAATAACGAAATTTTTGAACTTCCTTGTTTTGATGTTGGCACATGAGTGTATGTGTGTGTGTGTGTGTGCGTATGTTTCGAAGATGGCTTTGTCTCTAACTCTTGCCTACTGCCTATGAAATTTGTTCAATTTTACGAAAAATGCCAACATTACCCAAAGCCATCAAGCAGAATAATTACAAAGAGACACGTAACATTTCAATGCTAGACTTCTTCTTCTTTGACGCAAACACTCCGACATACAAACATTCACACACACACACATACACGTTAGGGTCTTGTGTGATATGACATAAGTCTGGATACAATTAGCCATTCCCCTCCTCCTCTTCCTCTTGCTCCAGTGCTTGTATGCTGTTGGAAACCAAGAAAAACGCCGATACCTCAGAAACCCCTCAACCTGGATATGCAGGCTGCCGGGTACCTCTTGGATATCAGCTGAACATAATCTGTGGCAGCAATGCATTCATTAAATGCATTTCATCATCATTTCTTTGGCTGTTTAGCGAGCGAGCGAACACAAGACGCCTTTGTTTACATTCCGCAAAACTAAATAAACGAAACAATCACCACCAGCACCGCTACCACGACCATCAACACCGACACCATTATCGTCATTAACATCATAACCAACTGTTGCTGCCGCCACCGCCCCAGCTTTTCGGTGACGTGTGCCGGCATGCGTTGAAGATGGCTTCCCCACCGCCACCACTGCCGCCGCCGACGTCGTCATTAAGCAAGCGTAAAAAGAGAACACCGCCAGCTGGGATGGCGTGACGCACTTGTTAATTTTAATTGGTAGTTGATTATATTCCAATTGCGGCACTTATATTCCGTCATTAACACGATCATTAGGTGAGAGGCTCCCCACATCGACTTTTTGTTCGAATTTCAGAATGACAAGGAACAAATGAAAGCTGTTATTTCTGGGAATAGTGTTGCAGTATTTCGTTACGGTTAGGAAGGAGCAGTGGTCGTGCGGGGCTTACCCTGAAAGTTTAGCAGTGGTGATTCCTGCATAGAATATATGTGTCCACTTGGTGTTGAAATAAGAAATGTTATAAAACCTAAAAATAGGCGCTACACATTCCACTTTCTCACATCCCTTGCTTAGATCTGGTTGGTTCTTACCCTGAGAGGTAGTATTCGAATTTGTACAAGTTTTACATGTGGTTACATATCTATCACGGCCATATCGGTCCACTGTTTCTGAACCTCATATTTGAATCACACTAAGGCCAGGTGCGAAAATGAACGATATCCCTATTTTGGGCTCACTCTCTTTGGTACCTCTCACACCAAAGTTAATTTCTTTGGACAAATAATAAGTCACATAAATAGTGAACAGATTCAGTCCACGGGTCGTACTATTTGTATCAATCTTAGGCATGGTTCGAAAATGGGACTTCCCAAGAAACAATCACAATTTGGAAAAGAATCCTTAGATTTGATAAAATGGAATTCGCCTCATTCAGATAAAATTCTAACAAGTGACCATATTGAAAAAAAATTGTAGCAACGGAAGTAGACTTGTACAAGACGAGGGCTACTATCCTGTTTAGATCCGGTGCGAAGGTAGTCGATAGTTGATACACATCGACCTCTGACGCAGATGACCCCCGGGGTTATATGGCATGGAAGTAAGGGGTCAAAATTCTTCTAATTGTATCTGTATGGATTTGAGAAGAACAAAACTTCATGGTAAAATATTCGAAAATGATATTTTAAAACCATATTCATGTATACGACCAAGGTCTGAGGGTAAACAGAAAAGAATTTTCGATACTCGATGTTCCAAGAATTCCCAAAACAATGAACCAGTACATATTTCCAAAATTTTGGATTTAGTGTGTTGATGTGACAGCAAATAATGAAATACTACTCATATGCTATTTTATTGAATTGGAAACCTCAAAATTAATAATATTAATAATAATTTTTTATGCAGTTCTCAATGCCGATAACGAAAGACCGACCACCTTCCGACATATTAATGGGTTTCGCTTTTTCATAGTCATATATAGCAGTCACGCTATATGTAAAACTTACTGTTCTCAGAACTCCCAATCCATTCAGATCATGTCAGGGACTTCTAAAACACAGATACATGTGCATATGCTACAACACCCTATGCCAATCCAATTTAAATATCGCCAAAAAAATAAATAAAACAACAACAAGAACTTGTCGACCCACTTATTTGCGAATGACAGCTTCAGATAGGTCGTCAAATTTAGGCCAAATTGTATTGCGACTTGGCTTGGCTTGGCTGCGCAACATCGCATCGCATCGCAATGCTTTCATCCAGAGAGCAAACGCTTCATAAATGTTTTAAATGACAAAACAAGCGCATTTTATTGCCGATTTATTTGCCCGAACATGCTTTTTTGGCATGAATAAAGCGAACCACTGCTGTCTGGATAATTTATTTTTATTCATACGTTTTTTACGCATGCGTGACTTATTTGTGTCACTTTAAGCTCAAGCCGAATTATGCAATTCTCAGCGCAAAGCGTTGAGCAGAAATCCACAAACACTGGAGCGCACACACACACACACACGAACAACACGACGACATTGGTGCGCGAGTAAGTGTCACTTTTAAAGCAATTACTTGATTGTCTGGCTGCCTAGCTGCCAGGCTGCCTACCGACGACCTGCTTGCATTCGAACGAGAATCGTGAGTTGAAAATTTGCTGGTCGTGGAAAATAAAAGCTATGCAGTTGTTATCACTTATATAATAATAAAGGTCTATAATGACACACGCATGCTCACACACATACGCACACTGCTAAGGCACATAGTTGTTTCTTCAGGCCATGTTAACGTTGGCCGCTGTGTGATCGGATCGTAATTGTTCTGATGAAACGTTTAGAGCGGTGTTAATTGACAATCTCTGGCGGAAATCTAAGCAAGTTTCAACATTAAGTGGCACTTGGTGCGACTGAAAGAAAGTGAATGACTGACTTTTGTCTACATTAGCCCCGCTGACGCCCTGCTTTGTGTGCCAATGTTTCATAACCTCGATTCCACAAACTACTGCTGCTGGCAATGGCCCTTTCTTGGGGTTTAATGTTGTTGTGAGATTCAATTTTAAAACTCGGAAACAGGGGCGATGAGACACATAATCCAAACAACAAAAGAAACCAAAAAAAGTTTTCCGTTTTGTTGGCTCTTAAATGCAGATGTTATCAGGTCAAGTGTTAAAGTGAACGTACAGAAGACATAAAATATGAAGTAATAAAAGCTTGGCTCGCTGACGGGGAATAGCTTCAAGATTATTTATGTGCGAGTGTGAGAGCTAGTTTAGATTTAATGTAACCGAAATGTAAAGCAACTCCAGATTGATGGGCTCCACTGGAGCTACTTTTTTGGCTTACGAGAGTAAGTTTCTCGGGGGTGAGAAATAGAGAATTTATGTTTGTGTCTTAAGTCTTTTGTTTCGCGTTTGTTCGATGGCTACATTTTCGCAGTTTATGTACTATTTAAGCTACGATTTAGACTATATGTTTGACTGTGGCCAAGTTATATGTAATTTTATTTTATTTTTTTTTCTAATTTTTATATCGGGCAGGTTAATTTCCAAACCACACTTTGCGGTTATGCAAAGTTTGCACTAATTCGGATGCTCACTTTCACAAAGAAAATGTATATGTATGCAAATATAGGAAGTAATTATACATACCGGAAGGAGTAGTGCGATATGGCCCATTGTCGAACCCGATCTAAGTTTTACAAATTTCATTTTGCCATATTTAACAAATAGTTTTGAAGAGAATCGGTAAATCATTACACGTAGAGGAGGGAATAGCGGCTTACTATTGTCAATTTTCTCAGCAGAATGGGTTCGGTGAAAATATTCCTAAGAACTCTATTTTTTATGATTTTTCAAAATATTGACTATTGGTGTAAATTCGCACTTACACGTTCCTCTTATCATGGACTTCGAATGCATTTCTTGCTTGCTTCATATTGTTTTTCCCTTTCCAACCCTCTCCCCTCTCTACTCCTCTGTGTAATAGTTTTCTTCCAATAAGAAGCGATTAACTTTTGCACCTACATACGTGTATGTATGTGTGGATCGAGATAACTACTGATTTGCATTAAAAGTCGACTTCTTAATTGATTGTCGATTTCCCCCATCACACCAGCGAACAACACTTGATTCACCACGCATTTTACACCCTACAAAGTTGCCGAGCGGACAGATCTGCTGTTGCCACAATGAAAGTTACGGTGAAGACGTGTAGCCATCGTTGAAAGCCAATAACGTTTGCTTAGAAAGCATATTTCACATATCGGCGTTATCGAACAAATAAGGAACCACAGCAGCGGGGTAGCTCGATGGCTCCATAAATGGAAAATGTCCGCATCTAAAAGCGTTTTTGATAAGCTGGAGAAACCAAGCACATTAACGCGTGGTCGATCAATAGAAAACGCTCATCATTCTATTAACAACAAGTCGCACTCGAAGCACATCCCCATCCATTCATGGAAGCAACGGTCATGGCTGTTATGGTCATCCATTGTTGGCATCGATTATATCCATCACATCGATTGATGATGACTGATCCATGTGCATGACCATTCACACACCACGCACGCACACACCCTCGTATAGAGACTGTATGTGAGCACGAGTACCTTCGTTTTCTAAGTGAATTCCGACATGGCACCGTTTTCTGTGGTTAATGGCTATGGGAAAAAGTTACTTCCAGCTCCCCCAATATCTAATTGACGTTTAACACGTTAACGATTTATTGATTTATTTGTTTGATTTGGGAAAATGGACATAAGTACAAATGATGTTGTAAGATACTAGATATATGATTTTGGTAAGTTCGTGTCAGAGCAAGCAGGACAATAAATACTGTTTTCATTGAAGATATTTTATTAAAATTAATTTCTTAGAAAAGGAGTAGGGTTTGTTTAGACAACTCAAGGATAATTGGTTTGTGTTTACACAGTAGAAAAATTAGACGGAAAATATTAGAATTGTTTTCAAATCATCTCAAAGCCAAACCGATATTTTATACCTTCTTTTAACGCCCATTCATATGATACCCGTCTTTTCTTTTCATAGCTTCATTTAGTGCTACTTTAGAATACCCTTAGTCTGTACAATTTTTAATGATGGCCATTAGCGGGTCAGGGCTACAAAACCGAGTAGAGGGGAGTACTAAGAATCTGAATCATCAATGAAAGAACAACCTGCTACTGACACAAATAAATCAGCGCCGTTGCGAAGAAACCAACAAGCGTCAAAGAGGCAGACGGATGAATGAACGGGTAGACCGACAAGATGTGTTTATTTACCACACAGAATGAATGTGAATGAGCAATAGCACAGAGAGCGAGGGGGAAGAATGATCGGACGCTGTACGTTGAGTTTATTACAGTCTCAAGATGTGAATGTTCGCTACAAAACAATTATGCCAGCGGTTAAGTTGTAATTACATGTTTTGGCCAAAACAAACAGCCGCCTTTGGCCAACAGCCCACAACAACGGTAATAGGGAAAACCGCAAAGCCCGGTAACCCTATCAACCGTTGGTGTAGACGGCAGCTAGCACATACAACATTGAGATATTCAATTAGGTTTAGACTATTTTTCGAATAGAGCCGTCTTGAATTTGTTGATCTTTGATACATTGGACCACAGTTCCGTACCTGAGTGTTGAACGGCGACTCTAGGAGAGTTCCAAGTTTGTAACACCACACACTTTAAAAATACATGGTGTAAGAATGTCACTCCGTCCGTCCGACAAAAAAACAACATTTACATTTACAAAAATGTGACATATACATTTTGGATCAGATCGTAAGGAAATTGTATGCATGATAAGAAGGATCTTCAAGGAAGGGTTACTATTGTTTAGGGCTCCGAATCGAAAAAAAACATCGGTGGAAACTATTTTTCAAGTACTCGCCTGCCAAAATTGATATATCTATTAAATTGTGATGGCGTTCGAGGTTGGCTGTATTCAATCGTTCTGGTTCCTTCAAAAATACACAAATTGTTAAAGTCATATCTTCCATAAAAGGTGAAACATATCGAAAATATCGACATTTAGATTAATTATAACTCTCCTAAAACCCGTGGTTTGAATATTACAAAAGTGTAGGTCCATTTTTCCAGGTACAAATGGTAAACATTTTTAAAATGAATAGAGCAACCTATTTTCTTGGCATTTCGCTTATCGTATTATTGGTATCTGGTTTAGGTCGCAAAAAACCTAACGAAGGATCAACATGGCTTTAATAAAATGCAAAACGTTGTCACGTTCCTCTCAATATTTTCGTCAGTACTCGACGTCATGTAAAAAATAACTTATGCGAGTTTGCAGTTTTTGCCTGAGGTTGTACTTCCCTTACTGCCTTATTCAATTGCTAATTGTATTCTTCGCAGCTCAGTCAACTCGATTAAAAACTGATTCTGATCGATTCCTTAATATTCTATTTTCAGTCTCCCTTTTGTTTAAGACATTTTCATGAAATTAAGTAAATCGAACCAGCCTTTCAATCCACTTAAATCCCCCCCAGAACATAATTCAAAATAGGAAACTTTAAAAACCAATCTCTCCAAACATATACCTACACAAACACACACACTCTCATACAATTGAAAGTTAAATCAGAATGTGTGTTAAAATCTATCGAGATCTTTTCCGCATATTCAAAATATTATATTTCAATTTTTTCTTTAAAATTTCCAAACAAGCGTTTTTATTTTTCATAACTCGCACTTTTTGTAAACCTTTTCACCGATGCTGTGGCTGCTGCTGCTCTTACTGTTGCTGCAAATGAAGTTATTTAAAAATATCACAACGCAGACACATTTGAATGATTGATTACTCTTTGGGAATATGAATAGATGTTTGTCGGTTATCTTCGGCTTAAGATAAATTGATCGCTCAGTCATTAGGGGTGGAGAAGTTGCTGGGAAGAGAAACTATCATGTTCACATGTACATACTTACACATACATATGTGATGGGAATAATTTAGCCGTTGAAACAAACCCGAAATGGCCAACAAAAGATAGCGAAAGCTGTCCTTGAAAACGAAAGTCAAAGGAATAGACAAAGTTTCACTTTCGTTGCCAGTACTGCGTATGGGGAGTAACGAATTTTTAAGGTGTACGTGACAATGCACAGTATGTTTCCGAAACACTTGGATCGGCCCAATATTTCCGAATAATAATATAATAAAATAATTTCCAAAGAAATTTCGGACACTCTCCCGCTCTCTCTTTCGATTGCTACTTAAAAATGCCTCACAATAACAAAGGAACAAGTTTGTAAAGGGGGTAAAAGAAATTCGGAATCACAATTGACCTTAGCAAATAATATTTTCATTTTTTATACCTCTAAATTACGATTTCCCACGAATTTCCCATTACTTTTCGAAATGTTGGGATTACACCTTCTGGCAGATGGAAGGGGAGCGGGAGGCCCCTCCCCTTTGCGGTAGGCCGTGTTGTGAATCAAAAGTGAAAAGTTACAATTATGGCAACACCATTCCATGTTGCAGATGCTGCACCAACGTAATTTGCTGTGTGCATGTGGACAGTGGAGCTGCCTCCGACTACAACAAGTGCATCAGGTACTGAACCGTGGCGCACAGATTTGGAGTACATCTGCGGAAACATCTTCAGTCTGTGCCAAACAAGGATGGAAGAAGCAATTTATTAATCGCAGACCCAACTGCACGAGAAGCGACTTGATTGTGGCCGTCATTAAATTGCCGTTGATAAACGTTTCCACAGTGGCAGGTTGCAGACGAAACGAATCTGTGCATTGAGCGCCAGTTGGTGGCACCACAAAACAACAAATATCTGAACAATGGAGCCAATAATAAGCGTGCTCACGCAATAGTCTCGTGCTCAATTTGAAAAATGCAACTTACGCTTGTGCAGACAAGTGGCGCAGGGAAGTAAAAACGCGGAGGGGGGTTTGGTGCCCCCTTTAATATGGTTACTATTAAGACTTTTTTGTACTTTTCCGAGGGTTTTTTTAACCTATTACCTGTGAGTCCCCCACGACATTTCGGCATACGCCTCTGAACGAACGGAACAACTTTCGAAATTCCCTGTTAATGTTTTGATATCTTTTGTCGTTTCAGATTCACACACGCTTGGAAGATGAGGAAGCATCGCTATAGTCGACAATGGCTAGTCAGTCAGGGTGAAGATGACAGTGTCAAGGGTCGAAGAGGTGTCCTGCACCAAAATGCCAGACCTGCACCTTCGCCTGCTCAACTGGACATCCTTGAGGTAGTTCATGTCACGGGACGAAGCAAATGTGAACGTCAGGGGTATACCACGCGCACTGCGAGAAGTCACCTCCGGTTGTCGGAAAGATCAGGAGATCGTTTTTACCAAATACTAGAAGTATTATTAGCTATAGTATTAGTCAATTTTCTAGCGTGTAGGCTAACAGACTTCCCAATGGCCGTGGCCGCGTTTGGTTATGGGGCCCCAGCAGCCAGTTTCCCGAGTCACAATTTGCAAGGCAATTTCGGGGGGAGCCATCAACCATATACGGACTCGGACGAAATTGAAGATCCCTATTATCGCCAGGCGCACAGCATTGGCGGATCCGCATTCGGATATAACGGACTGCAGCTGCAACACAACCTGGACGACAATTTGCTGAGAAGTCAAAACTTTAAGATCAGTCCCAAGCCATGTTCGGTGGGCCGCATAGAGGGCACCTGTATGTTTGTGTGGGAGTGTATAAAATCAGAGGGTCGCCATGTGGGCATGTGTGTGGACTCGTTCATGTTTGGTTCATGTTGCGCCCACAATTACACGGACAACATTGTACTGCCCAATACGTTTTCGTACACCCGACCGACTAAGCCCATCGGCATGGGAAGCATGAATCACAGGCCCAGGCCGCCACAGCATCCCCACAAGCCGAGCATAATGTACGAAGCGAACTGCAAACAGAAAATCACATTCAATGCTAATTTGTATTTTATTTCAGAGGTATGACAACCATCGAGAGGCCCCACGGAGCTGGAACGTTAGTCATACGTCCCTCTGGTCCTCATCATCAGGGGCCACTGGTGAGGCCGCAACAGTCGAAACCTTCATACAGCACAGCCACAGGACTGGTCACATCAACCACAACGGATAACCCCACTTTGATTTGGACTTCGAGTGCGGGACAGGGGGATTTACAATCATCGGCCAGTATATCTTCGGCCACCACAAGTAAGTTCTCTTCTTACGTCCTATCTAGCAGTGATGACATTCATTTGAGACCTATTTTCTTTACCCCAGTTAACCACCAGCAACATTGGCACTTGACAACCGAACCGAACTTTATAACCAAGCCTAGACCTCCTGCATGGGATAAGCCGGGAACGTTCAGACCCAAACCTCCGAAGCCCAGTAAAAAGCCCATAATGCCCTCCCAAACAGATTGGCACACCACCCAATCCCAAGTGGCTTACATATCGCCCTCCTATGGTTCATATTCCACCAGGAAACCAACAACAACAACAATTTCTCCCACATTGTCATCAACCACCACATGGAAGACGAATGCAACAAGCACAACAACTACATCAACAACAGCTTTAACACCGTCATCATCAACAACAACGACGTCGTCTACATCAACAACAACAACAACAATGAACAAAACGAAGCCCCAGGTAACATTGTCTTCTTTATTATATCCTTTCCGCACCCTCCCCCCCACTTGTCCTCGTAGCTCACTATGCTGAAGTAGAGGCAGAAATGGCAAAAAGTCCTACGACGCTGTAATAAGCCAGACCCGACCCGCCATTCGCGTCCATCATAATGAATCTGCTGCCCAGAGCGACATTTTATTGTTTGAAAATACCTGATGAAAGATTGGCTTAACTTGGGAGTGGCATTGGCCAGATGACCGCGCATTGCGTCGATGAGCAAATAGAACCCCGATCTTTGTTCTGTCAGTAAACATTACATCTTCACATTTCCATGTCTGCCGCCTGGCTGGGCATTGCGATACCCCTGGAGCGCCAATGCCCTTGATTTAAATTGATGAAGATCAAGTAGAAATGCGCTCACATATATGGGGCTATCCACACGGAATGTGATAAAATATTTATTCTTGATCCTTGGTCGAGTAAAGGTTAGGTAGGTCTCCTTTGGTCCAAAAGTCCAAAGGCACTGCTTAATATAGGAAAAATGCAAGCAGCAACAAACACTAATGCACTATTGAGGAAGAGTGGGCTCAGTGGACCAAAATAGTGCTTCAATCGGTTCTAACTTGTAACGTACCAACGCCGAGATCACATTCTGACTCATTTATATTTATACACTCCACCATACGATGAGAGTGTTAGTTAAATTTGACATTTGAGATCAGTAAAAATCCAAAGTCTATTAAGATCTAGATAGCTTGAGATTTGGCAGAAAAGTTTGTACTCTGTGTAGGATGATTGGTATTGGGAATGGACTTTATTGGTCCACGTCACACCGATTTTATTTATCCTATTTAGCATCTCAAAATTGGCTTAGTTTTAGTAGAAAAGCTCCCAGCAAATTGCGAGGTAGTTCGTCACGAAGTTTAACCTGGTGACTAATCGACATCTTTGGATACGAATAATTTATGGAGAATAAACCATAAGTGGAGCATTGGAAAACTTGATGATATTTTTCTGTATTGTAAATGGGTTTTTTATCAATTTCCGAAAAATATCAACGAATTACCCATTCCAGGGAACGACTCATATGTATATTGTTGGGCGGGGAATGGCGAAATGAAAAATTGATTCTTTGCATGGCCAAGCACATTTGCAAACAGTGCAATTGTTGGGCGGGAGTCATTAGACTGCATCATTATGTCCAAATAACATCAACACTGATGTCCAATTCTTAGTCCCCTCCTTGTTTTCATTTCGTTTTGAACATTTTTTCTTTTTTTGCATTTTCTATCTCTCCCGGGGCAGTTTGTGGGACAAAACAGCAGACCGACAACAGTGCCAGCATCTAGTTTCACCTATGCCAAACCAACCTCAAGTAGTTCGGCAGCAACGACGACGGCGGTAACAACACCCATCAGCACGTCATCCCCGAGGCCTCCGTCATCATCATCAACAGCAACCACAACAACAGCATTCAATACCAAGAAACCGGCGACGACAACGATGACGACGGCAACAACAGCAGGTGTTTTACCCACCAAAACAACAACACAAAGACCAACGTCATCTTCCCGACCGTATACCACGACCAGCTCAACTTCGCCCTCATCAGCGTTGCATACATTGCCCGCCACCAATATTAGCGCCATTGAATCAAACGAAATTGCTGATAACTCCGTTGATGGCGGCGACGTCATAAAAACCGTTTCAGCAGCACGCAGTGGTAAGTCCAATTGGTCACTCACTGTTCCCTAATGTACCGGCAATTTTCGATAAACGACCATCTCTGTTTGATTTAGAATGTGGAGTGCCTGTGTTGACGCGGCCGGAAACGCGTATTGTTGGCGGTAAGAGTGCTGCCTTTGGTCGATGGCCTTGGCAGGTGTCGGTGCGTCGCACCTCTTTCTTTGGGTTTTCAAGTACGCACCGGTGTGGCGGTGCTCTCATCAATGAAAACTGGATTGCCACGGCTGGCCATTGTGTCGACGAGTAAGTACATTTTCTGGTCAATAGATATTCGCCTTATGTCTGAGCCGAATCGAATCGAGTCGAATCAAATGAAAACAGAAAATAAAAGTCATTGTCGGGTGATTAGTAATAAAAGTTTGTGTGTGTTCGTTTGTGGCGCTTTGTACTTTCAGCCTATTGATCTCGCAGATTCGAATACGGGTGGGCGAATATGACTTTGCACACGTGCAGGAGCAATTGCCCTACATTGAGAGGGGCGTGTCGAAGAAGATTGTCCATCCGCAGTATAACTTTTTCACATATGAGTACGACTTGGCCTTGGTGAAAATGGAACAGCCATTGGAGTTTGCCCCACATGTCAGTCCCATCTGCTTGCCCGAAACCGATAGCCTTCTGATCGGTATGAATGCCACCGTAACGGGGTGGGGTCGATTGAGTGAAGGCGGTACATTGCCATCAGTTCTTCAGGAGGTAAATGTCATTGTTTGAACGAAGTGGAAAACAAGTTCAGTAGCTAATAATTATCCCCATTTGAATGCCGTTCCTTTTTTTGTTTTGTTTTGATTCTGCATTTATAGGTCTCAGTGCCCATTGTTAGCAATGACAATTGCAAGAGTATGTTCCTTAGGGCGGGTCGCCAGGAATTCATACCGGAGATTTTCTTGTGTGCGGGTTATGAGAACGGCGGACAAGACTCTTGCCAAGGTGACTCCGGCGGCCCATTGCAGGTGAGTTCAAAAGAAACTATTCCAAATTTTGTACTTCATCATTTAAACATCGTCGTTTCAGGTGAAATCGCAAAATGGCCATTACTTCCTAGCCGGCATCATTTCGTGGGGCATTGGTTGTGCTGAGGCAAACTTACCCGGTGTCTGTACAAGGATTTCGAAATTCGTGCCTTGGATAATGGAGAATGTGACGTGATTGGCCAAAAAGCTGCCAAACTCTAAGCCAGCTTAGTGCGCTTCGCCTTCCACGCTGGTTGCACCAATGTAAATACTCGATGTTCGATAAATTTGTTAATTATTTGTTTTTGTAGTTGTAGTTGTACTCTCTTTGAGAGCTTAACTTTGTCCTTATTTTTTATTGTGTATTTTATTTTAATTTATTTTCTAATTTGTGATTTTATTTATTTCCCAATATTTCGTAAGCTGTAGTTAGCTCCAAACACACAATATTTGAGTGTGCGCCTACCCAAAACCATATTGTAAATATATATTTATTATTATAGAAAAAGAGTCATGTCAAATATAAATATTAACACTAAATCTTAGAGGAAGGAAACGTATGAAATTAATTTAATTAAAAAATAAATAAATAAAGAAATATATCGTCTTGCCCAAAGAAAATAAACCATTGGTTGTTATTGCCAAAAAAATGCATTCGATTTGTAGGCACAGATTTATGAAATTGTATGGTGAACATTTTTTTCCCCTAAATTTTTTGGATATTTTAATTGTTGTGTCATTTGATCATATAAACACCGATATTGACCAAATGGACTAGTTTGCCATTATTGAAGAAATAAATGTCAATCCATAAGTTATTATCGATACATATGAAATTGCTCTTTATTTTATTGCGCGGAAAATATAATAGAACTTCCACAAAAACGGATGATCCGCATAATAATTTTACCTCGACAACATTTTAACAGCATTTTGGTGTAGGTCGTAATTCAGCATAAGCAACTTTATATTCTCTATCCTTTTTTAATAAAATTCTCTATTACTTTTGAATGAAGAAAAATTACTTTGGTAATTCTGAAAGAAGGTAGACACAGCTGGAGATTTGTGTTCCCTTAATTTTTACCGATCTGTGTTGCCTTCTTTTTCTATCGATATTGATAATATTTCACTATTGGAATTATGTCCTCCGATCCAACATTTTAATAATTTTTGTGGATCGAAAACTCCTTCTAATAATTTAGATTAACTTAATTTCAAACAAAGCCATTTTGTTCGTTTGCTTTTCAAAACTAGCAATGTCGAAAATTTGTTAATAATTTATTATGAAAATTAGATCTACTTCTCGAAACATGATACTGTTATCAGTCATTAAGTCATTATGCATCTTCTTGTATTTGTCTTTAGGCTACCACCATGAAACGGTCTAAGCTCAGCATGGCAGCAAGGGAAGAAACACATTGAGTATGGACACATTTCTTTCTTTTGCTACGCGGAACAGATAACAACAAGAAAAAGCAAGCATATCGAAAGAATTCACCCTTGGGCGTAGGGAGTAGCGTGAAGTGTAACTTTATTCCAACATTGGAATGGATACATCTTCTTAGCAATTAATTTTTTGCACACAATACAGCCATAACAGCCGGCTCGTGTACATTTGAACTTGTTGCTTCGTTGTTTGCTATCATCTTTAACACCGCATCTGTCTGCTAGAAATTCAACTCGCAGCGTTTGTCGGCATTTTTTCCGTCGTGTTGTTTCGTTCAGATGAAAATTTCACTTTCTCATAACTTGTCAGACAGATTGCGATTCGTGAATTGGAAGTTGATGTGACATTTGACTTCATTCGATCATTAATCATTGAGATTTACAAAAAACCATGGCAATAACAATAGAAAATCGAATGGAATTATGAGATGGACGCACATAGACAGGTAAGAATTTAGCATTCACTTTCGGAATTTATGTACTTCATGCTAAATGTGTGTTCGTTTACTCATTAATTTGTACAAATAATTACTGGATGTTGTGTGTTTACTCAACAATTGAATGTAAAAGACCGAAGTTGAAACAAGAAGTTACCGAATAAATCATTTTGGAAAGGGAAACTTACAGATTGGATTCAAGTTATTTTTATAAATACTTTTTCTGGAAAATTTATTTCATTTATAATTTTTATTAAAACAGTATGGTCTAATTTCTCTTAAAACAAATAGTCATGATAAATTAAAAGCTCGGGTTTTGATTTGGATTATTAATCACATCGTTTGTTTTGCATTTTTAATAATTAGTTTGGTAACACAGGTCCCCTTTAATGCGGGCTGCTATTTTGTGTAAGAGAATATTTTTGGACTTAGGTTCTTCTAAATAAATGTAAAACTGTTATACAATGTCGTTTAACGTTTAAACGACATTGTATGACAGTTTAAACTTTAAACATCGAAATATATTAAGACGACCCACGCGCTAACGTGAGATGATGCTCATGCCAAACCTACAGTCTTTAGCCCACATCAAGGTATATCATTTAGCATTTGTGATCATTTAAAGTGTATGTGCTACGCTTTAGTTCGACATTTGGGTACGTCAACTTTGTATAAAATAAACCGGATTTGGTTAGGATCTAGCCGCCTTACAACGTGTTTGACTGATTTTAGGTATTCTAAAAGCTCCTCACGATATAAGGCATTTTTAAGGTCAACACTTCCTTTTAAATAGAATGGAATGAAACATACATATTATATTTCTTATATTGGAGGGCACAAAACGCTTGGCCTAACCATTTCTACTTCTATATATAAAAACTCGTCGTGTCGTTCGGTCATTTAATTAACTGAAAAATTCGCGTCGGAACATTTTATAAAAATGCATAAATATCGGGAACATAAAAAAACGTGCTACGCTACAAACACTCTAAACTTATAGAAGATCAAGATTTTCAACTATTACTTTTATACTTAGGAAACATTTTTGTTTTTATAGTAATAATGACTTTATTCTGATTTATTCAGTATCAGACCATATATTTTAATAAATAAAAATAAGTACTTGTCAATTAAAAGAAAAACATGTTAATCTTACCTGTTGGATATAGGTACCATACATGTCCACGAGTATTGCAAATGTATTATGTTAGTCTATTCTAAAATCGTTCGATTTGTAGGTAATTTTCTTCTTGTTAAGCGTTTATTCAACTTAAAATTAAAATATCCAATATTTCATCGACATCAACCATGTAGCCGTAGTAGTCTTAATATACAAGAGTTGCTTCTTTACAAATTTTGAATTTTTTTTTATTATCGTTTCATTTCTCTCGAACTATTTAATTTAATTAACAGCACACAGAATTTACGCATTTATACGACTAATCAACCACAAATGTTCGCTGCAGAAGAAAATTATTTCTTCTTGGGGAATAATGCCTCCTTGGCTTCGTCGTACAAATCGAACACCATGAACTTAACATCTTCTAAGGTTGTGGGGAATTTGCTAATGGGTTCTACAGGCACTTCTTCGCCTGGTTTAACACCCTTCACAAAATTGTAGGCAATAGCGTAGCCTTTGCGTGCTTCGAAGAGTGCCTCCTTGGCAAACTGTTCTGCCTGACGGGGATAACACATAGAAGCTATTGCACCAGCGCCGACGGTAGTGTAGACTACCTTCTTGATGAAACCACCTCTAGCAGCAAAAATGAAACCAGACAAGCCGCCCATGGCTATGGCACCAGTGCGTGGCATCACATTATGTGGCTGATTCAAGTAATCGATAGTAGACTGTGTGTGCTCCTTTGCTGTGTTAATGTAGTCGTTTACAGTGTCTGTTTGCTTTTCCAAAGCTTTGTATCCGGCTTGAATTTCGGTACGTATAGCACGAACACCACCTTCTATGGCATTACGAAGTTCTGATTCCTTTGGAGGATGGGGTCTTCTCTTGGGCCTACAAGTTGTACATTTGGTTTGTGAGATTTCAAAGCAATTTGAAAAATGCAAAATCGACTTACTCATCAAAGGAATGCAGTGGGGCATACAAGGGCAGCTCACTGGGCTTACAGTTGTAATGGGGTTTTTCATCCTGTTGTTTGGCAGGCTCATTAGCTTGCTGAACAGCCACTGCAGCGAAAATGGTTGGTACTACTGTCAATTTGCGGAACATTTTATTTTGTAGGATGAATTGTAAACGGACAATGATAAGTAACCAACCCGATACCAGCCGAAAACTATAAAATATTTTGCCGAAAGTAACCAACAAATGTTCAAATGAAGAAAGCGCAAAAATTAATCATATTATTATGAAAAATGTAAAACTTATCAATTTTCATCTTTACTCACAGTTGTGTAATGAAAAAAAAAATGCAGCTTTCTGTCAAAATACTCTCAGTTGTCAAAACCCATTGTCAAATAATCGAATGAAAATGTAAACAAAATTTTGACAGCTTGAGGTTCTTCTAATCACAGTAGAGGATTTGGCGTTTTTACACCGGCATGCGCAAAAGGTGTAACTAGCAATTGTGAATGAAATCATTTCTGCCATTATGGCGCGTTTACATGCCAAAACTCTACCCAGGCTACCAGTGATGTTTGACCAATCACAATATATTCGAGGCATCATGGTAGAAGAATACAGGTAGTCGCTGGGACAATTAACTGTCAAATGAATTTAGAAATTGAAAAAAAATATTCAAATTTGTCATAATTCTTAAAAAATGCATTTCATAACAATCTTCGATTGGTGTCCTCTAAGAAAACCTATAAACATATACCTATTTAAAAAAAAAACATAAAATGTTGACATATCAATGTTCCCAAGCGTTGAACCGTCTAGATGTATTCTTCTACCATGTAATATATGTTTCCTATAATTACATTTATTGTAATTTGTTAATATGAGCGTTAATATTTCGTACATAAACGTATTACTACATTTCAAAATAATAAAATTTAAAATAGTAAAGATACAACTATCCTTTCAATACAATTACCTTTGCGAAATAATGAGTACCACCAAATTTTCAGAATAATTAAGAAAACAATTCCTCCATCATATTACCCAGCTCTAGAACTGCAAGAATGTAAAAGTTTTCAATACGATAATCGACTTTCCCTTTATGATATCGAAGAAAATTGCAAAACTAGAAGATACTTGTAGGAACTGGAACAGAATAATACTATTTTGTTTGTAGTAGTACGACCATGGCAGAAGAATACAGGTAGATGCATCAACGCTTGGGAGCATTGATATGTCACAAAATATATATGTATATATTTTTTATATGTTTTCTTATACGACGTTATTCAAAGGTAATTTAATCTGGGTTTTTTCAACAATTTTTACAAATTTAAATAATTTTTCATTCAAAATTTTCAATTCCAAAATTAGTTTGACATTTCATTGTCCCAGCAGCTGTGTCAATGCGTCTACCTATATTCTTCTACCATGAGTAAGACAATCCATGCTCAAATTTAGTTGACTGAATAACTTTAGCTATCAGAGGAAAAGTTTATTTTACTGAAAATTTAAGCAACTAAATTGGTATGTTAACATTTCAATGCCCATCCATTTGTATGTAAACTTGCTTTGAATGTTACTGCTCAAATAAACGACGAACCTATTTTGTTTAGGTGTCATACGGTTAATTCACAATGAATGAGAACTATAGGTGATCAGCTGACTATGCTCAAATGTCAAATATCCAGCTGATTGCGTTTCGCTCATGTCTCATTCGTAAACAACAGAGGTACTCGGGCATTTAGCCTTTTCGTTATATTTCATCGTTCATTCCTTTTTGCTTTCTTATTTGTTTCGTTGGGGACGTCTTTCATTTTGTTTTATATCTCTGAGGGTTGCATTTTATATCTCTGAAAATTGTATTTAAGCAATTAAATTGGTATTATAGAAACATGCCAATATTTCAAAATTCACCGGCCACTTTATTACCGGACCATACCACTCACAGCCAGAATGAACAAACGAAAATGTTAATTTAAAGTTACAAACGTAAGTATACGCAGAAGAAATCGATACCAGCCCACCTTAAATCCAACGCTCTCGACTCGAAGAGTACCAAAATACTCCCACTAAAAAAGTGATTGCAAAACCTTAATCGCACACAAGAAGAAGACGCTAGTGTGAGTTACGCGTTGAAAAAAATACTTTTAAAGAAATGTAACCAATATTATTTTTGTGTTTCAGATACAACTTTAGATGGTGTACGCTTTGTCCCAATAATTCTCCCAGTACCAGTAACAATGTTCGCTGTGTAAGGTGGAAGTATTATTATCTATTTCATTCATTAAATTTACTTCGTAACCCCCCAATTATAAAAGTGGAAAATATAGGCTGCTTTAAGAATATCTAACCAAACGACATGGCCGCTGCTACAACACCGATATCATCTAAGTTTAGGTAAGCCAACTAGTTAGTTGTTGGTGTTGCAATCCGATAACTGACTTTTTTATGGCCAGGCATTGATTAATTATTCTACGCACAACACCCATGGGTTATGAAGTACTTATTCTTAGCGACTTAGTAATGGTCATATGAGCAAGTGTCTTTTAAAATATCACATTGCTTGGCTGCTTTCTTTTAGTGGTGGCAAGATTTCCGGCTGATATTACTAACCACAAATATTTATTTTTAATTCACAGCGATGTCGATGAATATGGCTTCAAACGCCCAGAGAATTTCGACTACAAGGCGTACGAACAATTCATGTCAAATTATCTGAAAACACTGGCTAAGCGTCGCAAAAGATGGGAGGAAATTTTAGAGGAAAATGTTGATCTCAGTAACATTAATTCCAAGCTGAAGCGCTACATAAGGAAAGGAATACCAGGTAATTTCTGATTTAAATCCTGTACGCGAGCATGCATTCACTAGCTTTCCTTTTTTAACGTAGGCCCATTCCGTCCTGATGTATGGATGCGCATTTCTGGTGCTTATAAATTACAAGCCAAGTCTCCTGATCTCTACCGCAGTTTATTGAATGCTCCACACGAAAAAGAAATCAGTGATTCCATATCAATAGATCTACCTCGTACTTTCCCCGACAATATATTCTTCGAAACTAAAAAGGATAGTCTTTATAATATCCTTATTGCCTATGCTCACCATAATCGTGATGTAGGATACTGCCAAGGATTGAACTATATAGCCGGCCTGTTGCTTATCGTCACCGAGGATGAGGAGAAGTCATTTTGGTTGCTCAAACACATGGTAGAAAACATTGTGCCACAATATCACACCAAGAATATGGCTAATCTTTTACGGGACATGGCGGTTTTCAAGGAGATGGTGATACGCAGGGTTCCTGCTGTCAACAAGCACATTGAAAACCTAGGTAAGTTCTACTGCTAGGTAAGCAAATGACATTCTGAAAGTGTATATTTAACATTTAACTTTTTTTAAGGATTGCCATATGCCGTAATAGCAAGCAAGTGGTTCATATGCGTATTCGCAGAGGTTCTTCCAGCTGAGACAGTTTTAAGGATTTGGGACTGTGTCTTTTCTGAGGGATACAAGGTAAGGGTGATCCAGGCATATTCATTTAGAGAACACACAAATAAACGACCTTCTTTTACAGATCGTTTTCCGTGTGGCTCTCACCATGTTCAAAACGCACAAATCGGCTATACTAGCAGCCGATGATATAGGCGCATTGGCCAATTTCTTCCGCGAGGTATTAATCCACGACGAAATCGTTACTGACTGCCATACATTTATGCAAAAGGTGTTTGAACTGCGCTTGAAGCGTAGCGAATTGGAAAGTTTACGAAAAGTTTGCGTTGGACGCAACAATACCTAAAAGACTTCCGACTTAATTTACATTATCGCATCGTAACCATGACTAATATTATAATTCTAATAATTTGCTGAACTGCTGCCCAATAATTGAGAGGTTCAAATGACAAAAGACAACATCACACGCGACACCGCAAATAGTGTCACATATTGTAAGCCAAATATGTTTTTCTTCTTTTCCCCCCACTATGATGCCAATTAAATACGCCATTAGTAGTATTTTTCAATTCGTAGTTAAACAATAATGTACCATAATGTGTAATGAGATGGTTACACACATATACCAGAAAAGTATTCATTATTCCCAAAAATTTACACAGCAAAAGGCGATTTAGTTCGATGCCAAGAATAGCCGTACATAATATGTGTATGGCAATTAAGTCGCTGGATGGTCGCTTCACAGTGTAGAACGAAAAGGAGAACAACTAATTATTTCATTAGGAAAGTTGTAGCTTAGATTATTTCATGTTCCGAAAAAAGACAAACAAAATAAACCTATGATGAACCGACAAATTACTAAATGCTCGGATACTGTAAAAATGACTCAAAGTACAATTCTAGTTATTATATATTAATGCTATTTATGTTCGTTATGATTTTTAGCTTTTTACAAATATTAGAAGCGTAGATGTGTTTCTATTGCTGCTTTGTTGGTATGTTTAATTTTGTTAATTTTGTTTTTACAGTTTATTTTCTAACAATGTTTTACTGCATAAAAGAAATGTCAGACCAAAATTCAAATAATTTAAGTTTTATTGCTTCATTGTAATCAATGCCGTAATGCGTAACAGAGATAATAATTATATAAATACATAACTAATAAAAACAAAAAATAACAAAAATACGAAATTGAATTCACTACGTCCACTTATTTTGTGTTGGGTATGACCTAAAAATGGAAGACTAGAGTAGAGTTGAAAAAAAAAACATTGAATCACTGGAAACGTTGCATTTATGGAGGTCCACAGTGTGTTCCACACATAGGTTCAGATGAGAGAGCCAATGATGTCAATAGAGTTCTTCGCCCTGGATGCACTCCCAAATTTTCCCAATTTATCCACGACAAACGGGCAGTTAAATCTGCAATTAGGTTGTACAAATGTTACATTGAAATGTTTACTATTCGAAAAGTGGATCCATACCACTGGTATTCCAATTGGCCTTGTCGGCCTTAATTTCTCCTCGCAAACATTTCTCCACATATGTCAATGGGTCGTAGTCTGATTGCAAAACTTCACGCAGCAACGAAATATATGCAATAGCCAAGCGCAGAGTATCTATTTTGCTTAAACGCTTCTCGTACGGAAATGTGGGTACGTGGACCCTTAACTCATCAAAGGCTGAATTGATACTACTGCAAGGAGGTAAATGACATGGAAATAAGGAACGAAACGAAAAATGTTAGAATCATGTTATACCATAGAGAGGTCTTTTTTACGAAACATAAGACGTAAAACAAAAGGACAAATCTATTTGAACAAATATATATAAAGACCATATATTGTTGTACCCAGTTGGTGCCGACCTCTGGATTCGCTTCCTCTCCCGCACATTCGCCTGCTGCCTTTGAATTTTATAAGACGTCGTGTTATACGAATTGCTGCCACTGTTGTTGGGGCTGCTGCCACACATTAGCGCTGCGGTACTGTTTGAATTCAGTCCGATGTTGTTGCTGGATGAATCCAGTATATTTTCTGCAAATCAAAACAAATTTCATTGTAAATATGAAAGTAAGTGTGTTAAGAGATTGTGCCACTTGCCATTACTTTGTTGTTGTTGTTGCATATACTGCTGTTGAATTTGTCGAAAATTATTCGAATTCATTCGCAAGTTTCCATTTCCCGTGCCAACTGGGCCGCCAGCATAGACGCACGAAGGCAAGTCATTGATCATGTCATCATCAAAATTGTGAAAAGAGATGTGGCTAAAATAAGGATTCAATAAAATTATTTAGGAATCGTTTCAGGCCTATCCGTTCGTCTGCTGTATTCACGTTACCCAGCAAAAAATCCCAATTTAAAAAAGTTGGGTTTAATAAGTATATGGAAGTAACTTCCTACCAAAGTGAAATTAAGAGTCAATAAATGAGTTCAAAGAAGCAGTCGTTATATTTACAGAATCGTTTTCCTGATGGTATCGACCTTCTGATTGATAGTCGAACACACCATGCACTCAGCCACTGTTACAAACATTTATTATTCTTTCAAGCATGTATGTGAGTCGAGTGAGATCTTCATATGTCCTTATAATTTTGTTTGATTCGAAGATGAACAGCATCACCGAAGATGGACAGCATCAGTCCACGTTTAGGTATAACCCCAATAGAAAGCTACCCTCGATTTGGGGTTAGTTGGTGAGTAATTTCGAGATTTTCCCACATACATGCCTGAATTTGGATATTTCGGGTTCATAGTGAGGGATGAACCTTTATAGGGAAAAAATAGAGTGGAGTTTTTTATTTGGTGTCTTGATGGGTTTGACCACAAAGTAAACGATTAATGTTCACATTGAATACTAAAACCCTAGGAAATATTTCTCAGTTTTATTCACTTTTGTTTTATATTTAAATACATATTTTGAATTCATCGACGCTAGAAACGATCACTGCAAAGACTGTCTTTATAGGCCCAAATTTAAATATAGATTCACGGCACGGTACAACATTCCTAATTTTGAAGGTTTTACTTGGAATTTTTATATTCTGCACCATGGAAATGAGGGTATATTACATTTTTAACACCTCCAAATATTTGTCGGGAAACGGGGAATAAAACATAAACATCCGTGATCAGCGTAAAATTCGATGTCGACCTTAGCAATGTCCGTCTGTCAGTTGAAATCAAGATGCAGGGCATGACTTAGAGTTTTGAAATTTGACATAATAGTTTGCATGTTTGCCATGGAAAATGAGGAATATCGCTCCACATTTTTGTACAGCCCCCATACAACGGAATCTCCGGATACTCGGGTTTTTGATGATTTTAGTATTTATTTTCCACAAAATTGTTTAAAATTAACTATTTAGAGTTTGTAATGTGTTCTACCTCCGATGGCATAACATAGTCTATATTGGTACACGGTTTCCTGTAGCTCCCATATAAGGGTACCGCCCGAAATTCGGTGTTTTGATGATTTTATCCACACTTTCCAAGCCACATTTGGTATTCGTTAGGTATGACGCCCATGGAACGCTACCGCCCACTATATAGTATTTAGTAGACCTTGGATTCTCCAACTAATTTCACCGATAATTTCAATTTAAAATGGAATTCGTTCGAATGGTAAATCCAGATACTTTTCTTTGTAAATATTTTCTTTATTTCATGGTGTTTGGGTCGCCCAACGTAACATTTTTTCACTTGTTCCTTTTTAGTGGGTTACAGCATACTTCTATATATCTGCAATACATAGTTAAGGGCATTGTGAAGGCTTTGACCACTTTTTTCCATCGATTTCTCTATTTTCAATTAATCGCATTTTCAACTTTGCGGAAAGTATGAAATGCTCGGTCCATCCAAATATACGACTTTTTCACTTACTCAATATTGTTTTGGTGGTAAATTATGATATTTTCTCAAAATGAGTCACCGATTCAGTTTGAAATCTTTTAAATATCGTCAAAAAACGTCATATTGGTTTCAGGTTTCTCTGCATCCTCAAGGTCCGAAATTTTCGACGAATTTGAGGCTTGAAAACAGCGGTGAAAGGTTCAAACATTTGGTAATCCCGAAATTCCTGCTATTTTTGTTTAAATTCTGATGTTTAATTTTTGACGAAAATTTTGGACTAATGATTAAAATTGGACAGACATTTGAATAATAACAATTTTTTTGTTTTGAAGAAACAAAAAATGTACATCCAAGGATTCTTTAATGTTTCGTATTTTAATTTTTATAAAACAAATTATTTTATTCCAATATTAAAAAACAAACATCTTCACTTTCATTTAGATTTTTTTTCGATTTAGTTTTTTCTTTAATCGGTCACTTTTTTCGTTTAACCAATTGTTGTAAACTTTATTAATTTTATTGAAATACCAACCTAATTGGTGGCGATGAGGATGAGTCCGGTAATTGATTTCGAGACATATTTTTTTTTTAATTTATTTATTTCAAATCTCCAATTATACTATCAACCGCACTCTAATAAGATTTGCAACGAAATAACAGCATCTCCTGGGAATACATCAGCCTTTTATAGCAGGATAATGTTCCAACAAGAATAGCAGAACATCAATCGCAGACATGGGATTTGCAACCCCTAAATGCTGTGAAGGCAGTGATTTCCTTTGCTGTCCCACCTTCTGTCATTGCATTCGTCGATGGCGACCAAAGGGGCGGAGTCTCTAAAGTATATGATTTAATACACAGTAATTATTCGACGAGTATGACAATTAATCTGAAGGGTTTATTTAATTTTTCGTGAGAAGATTTAAAGGAAAAGTGTACATTTTACGTAATTTATATGGAAACAGAAAAGGTGAAAAGATTTTCACATTTCATACCATAATACTAAACATTCCAAGGCCAATGAATAGTATTAATAACGTAATTATGTTCCTAATTAATAACCAAAACTACAAAAAATTAAAAAAATATAAATAATAAATAAAGGGCGTTGGAATGGACGTTATCTTAATTTGCAAGATCATAGATATGTAAAATTTTTGTTTAAAAGATTAGAAAATTCGGGATCTCTAGTGAAATCAATTGGAGAATGCAGTTGAAGTCTTCAAAATACCATACCATGTATCCATTGTGGGTTTAAATCCAAATTTGAAACTCTTCCGTGAAAAAAATGTGTTATTTATTATTATTATTATTTATTAAAAGATTGGTAAATTACAATTATATGTTATACAATTGGCATGTGTTACAGAATAAATGTGACAAATTACTATCTATATTTGGCGTAGCAAGAATGCTGTGTACCAATATAATTAAAATGTGTACATTTGTAAATTTAGAATTATTAAAAATTAAATTCGCGTATTAATAAATGTCTGTACCTAATGCAGTTTTCAAGATATAAGTATAGCGATGATAAATTTGTGTCATTTAATATACTTATTACTTTATCTACACTCATTAAAATTTTATTAAAATATTTCTTTCTGTAAACTTTAAATACTGGGCAGAAACCAATAAAGTGGAAGGTATTTTCAGACTGGTTTGTATTACATAGAGAACAGATTCCATCGGTATTGGCTTTAAATGCCTTTGAGTTTAAGTCAAGCGAACCGCCTCTAGCTTTTATGATTAGGCTGGTTGCACGTGATGGGTTAAATTTGGGATCTCAATATAATCTAGCAGAGGGTACAAATCATGGAACTGAGAATTTCGAGCTGCTACTTCAAAATCAATTCTTTCTTTGGAGTGTAGATACATAATAACACCTTTCCAATTGAAGCATAGTGGAATGCTATTGTTGGGATGTATGTAATTTATGACTTGGCATAGGGTTGTCCATTCGTTAGCCCATGAAATTTTCAGTTCTAAGATGTATTCAGCCAAGATTCGAGGAAGTCGATTTGAATGCAATTGCAGGACTTTTTTAATATAACAGAAATGTGTTTTGAGTGTAGAAGGGAATATGGAATTTAGAGCAGTTTCCAGACACAACATGTAGTTCAGTGTGTTTTTAGGCAGATATAACATTTTCTTTATGAAAAAGCTAAACAATTTTTCCACATCATCATGCTTCTGGTATCCCCAAACCTGAGAGGCATAACACAATATTGATTTAGAGCTAGGTATTCCCTGCCTTACCCCCTGGTAAACATTACCATCGTTCTCCACTAATAAACAAACGTTATTTTTATAAAAACAACAATAAAGGGATAAAGCCTGACCATTTTGCAACAACAAAATACTACGGTATCCCGAACAAACAAGCCACACTGTTCAAGATTCAAATATTTTTAACTTGTTAGATTTGGAAATTTTTGGACTTTTGATATATTTTGACCACGTCGAATTTATAGCAATTTTTGATGAAAAAAATGTGTTTAAAATTATCAAAATATCGGATACTGGGAGGTATCAATTCCAATAGATATATTTTAAATACAACAGAAAGTAGAATCCATTATGATCTCTAAATACCGAATGTTAAACAATTCCGTCATTATCCCCAATACTGGGGGAGATTTTCAAAGCTTGTCTGTGTCTATCCTACATTCCTGAAGCATGGAGTGAAGTCACAGTTACTTATATCACCAAAGCGGGGAAGGACTATAGACCAATAAGTCTCTCATCCTTTCTATTGAAAACTTTGGAAAGGCTGATAGACATAGAGATCAGATCTCTAGTACCCAAGACCGTCATTAGCAATGCTCAACATGCCTATATGAAAGGTAAGTCTGTTGAAACAGCGCAACACGATGTCGTAGGGTATATAGAGAAGAACATGAATGGTTCCTTATTCACCTTGGCTGCCTTCCTCGATATTGAGGGAGCCTTTAACAACGTCACGCTAGAATCCATTCATGATTCCTTATCAAAACTCAAAGTACCCCAACTCCTCATAAACTGGATTGAATCATCAACTCGAGCATTGGGGAAATATCCGTCAGGAAATCGGCCACGAGGGGCACTCCGCAAGGGGGTGTCCTATAACCATTACTCTGGCTTTTGGTCATCAATAATATAATTATGGATCTAGAGGTAACAGGAACGAAAGTAGTCGCATACGCTGATGACGTCGTCCTATTAATCGCCGGGAAATTCCTGCAAACAATCTCGGATCTAATGCAAGGAGCTCTAGTCACCTAGCGTGAACCCATCAAAGACAGAGCTCGTCCTTTTCACTAAAAGACGTAAATACCCTACATTTACACCACCGAAACTAGATGGAGTCAGTTTAAACCTTTCGCTAGAAGCCAAATACCTTGGCACTATCCTTGACCACCGACTAAGTTGGAAGAGGAACACCGAGGAACGAGCTAAGAGAGGCTTAATTGCACCTTTTTCCTGCAAGAATTCTATAGACAAGAGCTGGGGCGTCAAACCGCACATCATCAAATGGATGTATGAGTCAATCGTTCGCCCCATTCTAACCTATGGATCTCTAGTATGGTGGCATTCTTTAAAGAAGTTAACTTATCTACGACATATTAACAAAGTTCAACGGGCCGCATCCTTACTAATAACGGGTGCCTTCAGGAGCACGCCTCAAGCAGCACTGGATACTCTACTGGGCCTAGGCCCACTGAATTTATATGTGGAGGAACAGGCATCCAGGAGTGCTCTTCGACTCAGAGAACTAGGTGAATGGCGCAGTCAACCCTTTGGACATTCTGCGATTCTAAGGCTTGTAAGGAATGTGGGAGAGACAGACTTTGCAAGTGACTATATTTCACCACGACTAAGCTCCTACCCACCTGCCATACACATACCTGACAGAGACACCTGGGCTCAAAACAACCCACCTTTCCGCGGCATAGCTGTCTATACCGACGGTTCAAAGATGGAGTGTGGAACGGGAGCTGGTGTCTTCTGTGATACTCTTAACGTTCGTGAATCCTACAAGCTTGGAAACAACTGTAGCGTTTTTCAGGCGGAAATCATTGCAGTCAAAAAGGCCATTGACCTGCTGGTCACGAGGAACATTGAAGTCAGTAGTCCGGTGACTATATATGTCGATAGTCAAGCGGCACTGAAGGCCTTGAGTTCCTTTACAATCAAGTCTAGGGCTGTTTTGAACTGCAGGGAAGCCTTGGAAAACACTGGGTTGTTCATCAAGCTTTGTTGGGTTCCTGGACATTTTAACATCCCAGGTAACGAGACTGCAGACGAACTGGCCAGATTAGGATCCGAATCAACTACAATTCAAATAGACAACTCGGTTAAACCACCACTGTGCCATTTCCTGCAGGTTATTCACAAACACTACTCTGAGAAAATCCAACAAAAATGGCTAGATGAAATTGGTTGTACCATCCCCAAACGAATCTGGCCCACGCTCTCGGAGAAGAGAACAAGGTCACTGATGGCATTGTCAAAACCTGATTTAAAACTCGTGGTGGGCATCATCACAGGTCACTGTAAGGTGAGGGCTATGACATCGAAATGGGACAGCGACGGCATTGACTACTGTAGGATCTGTCAAGATGAAGAAGAAATCGAGACAATCGAACACTTACTCTGCCACTGCCCAGCACTCATTAATGTGAGGCATAGGCTAGTGGGGAGTTTTGAAATTTATATGTACATTTGTAAGGATAATTTTCTAAGTTCTTCAGGTCAGACTAGAAGATATTCTGAAATAAGAAATATATTGTTATTTTTGATTTTAGACCAACATTCAACGTCAAATACTGGATATATTGATATTCGCCAGAGACTGCAAGATGAATTTAATTGAGTTTTAAAATGGAAATGGAATGCGATGTTAACATGGCAGACATCCGTCAAACTACACAAATCCTCAAAATAAAAATATTTTTATTTCCCACACACTTGGCTCATTGGAAGGAAGTTCTTCGCCAGTCACACCTTGGCCTAAAGCCACCAGCAATGGCTTAATTCCTTCATAGATTTGGTGCTGCAGCAAGGAGACGCAACACATTTAACCCCATATTTGTTTGTGTTCATTGTTGTTGTTACTATTGCTGTTGTTGTTGTTGCTGTTATTGTTGAAATGCGATAATTTAATTGTGGTCTTGTGTTTTCAATTCCTGAGAATTGTTCGATTCCGATTAACAGTCATGTTTACAAGGCTTTCTGGGAAGGGGGTTGTGTGCGTACTTGAATATGTCCTTGTGGCAATTACTCGTGTTCCTCTCATCGAAACCAG